GTCTTTTTTTTTTTTAATGAAGTATTGGCGTTAGAAAGAGATCAGGGTATCGGGTTGATAATTAGGTGCTCAAACTACTACCATTTCCGGATTAGATTCTGAAGCAAATGGGCGATCTAGTATTTTTGTCCTTTTCTGTGCTTCATTGGATAAACCATCAAATTCATCCCTAAACTGCTACTGTCTCTCTATAGTACATAAATTATATAAATAATCCATCAATCACTAAAAATATACCGGGGAGTTATCCATTATTGAAAGTGCTTTTTTGATAGTCACTCAATACTTTTTTTATGCTGAGAGAAGGTGATGAGTAATACTGCCTAGACTTCATTGATGATTTACCTGTACATACAATTTGAATAGCAATGGAAAAGGTTAAACATTACCAAGTTTATGAGTTGTTTGCAAGTAGACCGAGATGAAATCTCATTACTGAAATTCCTTCTTAGACTCTTCCTTGTTGATTGAAATTTATACCCAAAAATTACATTTTCAGGGGATAATTATTAAATTAGGGTGAAACATACTAACATTCGTGTTTTTTTTAATGATTTTCAAGCAATTACAAAGAGTATGACACTAAAATTATTCCATAAAGAATCTGTTTCCTTATCGTGAATTGATGGTTTTGTTCTTTGTTAACCTTGTGCTATCACTAATTTTTCTCTACCCTCCAGTGGATTTATTCCGTATAGAAGAAAAATGATGGCACTTGTTTTGTACTGAATTTAATCTTCTTTTTATGTTTGTCTCAGGTAGATTTTGTGTTGGGAAGCTGGGTGCACTCTGAGTTACCAACAGGAGGGTCCTTAGATATAACTAGTCTTTCAGCCTATCTTAACAGTTCAACCGATGCACCAAATTTTGTGTTTGAAATGATCCGCAGTAGTCCAATAATGCTAGTTCTCATTCTTGATTTGCCTCCCCGGAAAGACCTTGTGCTTTGGCCAGATGACCTCAAAACGTTCTATGAAGACACTCAATTGGATACTCACAGGCAGGCTCTGGAAAGAGTTCCAGAGGTTAAACCATATTTCTCTTCTTCCCTTTACATCCGCAGTGTTTCCTCCCCTACAACCATAATGGTTCGCATTGTGACTGAAAATGGTGGAGTAGAACGCATGGAGGAGATCATCAGGGACCATTTGGACCCCATTTCAAAGCAAGTATTGGGGATCTGGTTGGATCATTGTGCTTGTGCCCAGCGAGATGTTGGAGAGGCAGAAAGAGCTTATCTGAATAAAAGGGATGGTCTCATTAGAAACAAGACAATTGAGATTGATCTTGGTTCAAGCTTCCCCAGGTTGTTTGGTCCAGAAGTGGCAAACCGAGTACTGGAGGCTATCAAGGGGTATTTTACTGTCTAGGATTCTAATTTATTTGGAATTGTTGGACATTCTGTGTTACATACATGTAACTAATTAGCCTTGTAGTCAAACGAGGCTTCAGTATTCGTTGTATCTCCGGTCAAATGTGAAATCCATAAATGATTCTGATAGTTTCTACTTTCTAATTTCTCCCTCCTTTTCTTTGCTAGGGATGATTCATGACAATGGCACTTTTCTAAGCCTTTATTGAAATCATTCCATGTGCTTCCATTCCAAGCTCTTTGTATGACCTGAGTTTGAAACCCCACTACTAACTTCCTGAACTAGAAGCAAAATTTTTAAATTGGAAGTATTTTAGCATGCTTGGAAGTATTTCTGTAAGAAATGTTGTAAAGGTTTCTATATAATCTATTCTTGAAGTAGCCAGTGCCATTATATTTGTAGCATTGCTTTCTTGAGTTTAAATTCGTTGAAAATGTATTATTATTTGACAATATATTTTTGATAATATTTTAACATCATTTACAAATTATTTCACAATTAATAATAATAATCATAAATACCATCAATCACAGACGAAGATGATGTTAAAATATTGTCTAATATCATTATGTTTTCATTAACTCACCTCTCTTATAATAGGAAAAAAAAGCATATTGTATCAGGGTGTCTCTTCCTTTTACTGTTGTATTTATTCTGTGAATTTATTCAACTTTCCGAATCAGAAGCTTATATATGATGGCAAATTTAATAAATTAATTAATCCCTTATGAATATTCTTAACGCACTCATCAAATTTTTACTATTTTCTTGTGTGTCCGACATATATTTTTAAGATTATAATAAGATTCCTCACCTGTTAATCAGCTAAAAGCTAATTATTATAATATTTGTTGCTATGATATGTTGTGTGACGTGTGTCCCAGTGACTGTAACAATTTAACACGCAGCAATAGGTATACTAGCGGCTACGAAAGAAAATTAGAGAAATAAAAGTAAAGCCTGAGTTTCAATAAATAAAGCGTTGGAAAAGGAAAAAAGATAGATGGATAGAAACTATAAAAGAAATATATAGGAAAACGTGAACATTGAAAACATAAACATTAAAGATTGAGTGAGAAACTGAGAATATATTCCTCTTTTCTCTTTTAGAATAAGAATAGATTCTACTAAGAAATTTGATTAGAATAACTTTTTTTCATGCACCTATTTTATCAAATACAAATTCCTGAGTCTATTCACTTTAAGGTTGTTGCCTATGTCTTCTCTAACTCGAACACCCAAAGACTGGGGCTTCAATTTTATTAGTGGAGAATAAGATATCGTTAGCTGCAAGCAACTTTTGTTTATGATAACTAACAGTGCTTTTTTCTTATATATTGATAATTAACAGTTTGAAACCACTTATTAGTATGACTTAAATAACATTGCTCCTTAAACATCACCACAGTTTGATCTCAATATCTGAGTATGTCAAAAAATGGATTTAACTAGTTCAGTAAATTTTGTTTGAGGTGTGATAAAAAGTGTGTTGGATCTGTTAAGGAGGAGGTTCACCATAGAGACAACACTAATGAGATTTGAACCTAACCAAAAAAGGATTGATACTACTCTCTACCAAAAACCTTAAAATAATAGATAAATGAATCTTTAACCTTATATGATACTCTACTTTCTCATGAAATTTAGATTCATAGTTGATATTTTATCTGTATGAATGTTTAGAACATTATCATAAACTTTATTGTGATTTAAATAGAATTGTTACATGCACTTTTTCTGTCTAATGTGGCAGTGTTTTTATTGGATGCTTTGGAAAACCTTGATAGTATAATAGACATGCATAAACATAAATAAATATGTGTGGCTGTGTGAAACCTTGATGGTACATATTCTTATGTTGTTCTTTGGCAGCCACACTATGTGAAAAATCGAAATGAGGTGAATCTCCCATTTTAAATAAGTGAACTACACAATTCTGAATTATCAAGGCATCGGTTCTTAACATGGAAAAACATGTCATTTTGATCAACTTGCCATTTTCTTTTATTTCTTAATTTTCTTTCTATTAGTTATCAGCATCTCTATTCTTAGCCACTGAAAACTTCAATCAGAAGGAAAAAGGTTATCGTATCTTTGATGGAACTTAAGCACTGAGTGTGTTTTCATAAACTAATCCACGTTATCAAATTTTAAATAAAACTTCCTTAGCTCTGTATATGTAAACTATGTGCACCTTAATCTAAGTTTTATATTATTCCATTGCACATATTCCATATATGAAGCTGTTACCTATTCAAATAAGCGTTCACATACTCCAAACAAAAATTGTTTTTCCTCTCTGTGTTTGCTATTTTTTAACAGCTTCTTTACTCAGTTCAGAACTCAAAGGGAAGTTGAAACGAAGTTCAGAAAAACTTACATGCTTTGTGAAGTGGACAAACCAAAAAGCCAGATTCTATATAAGGGGTCCCTTTCTTTCCCTTACAGGAGATCAATTTTCAAAACTCAATCACTGGTTTTCCTGAAAACTTCTCAGCAAGATAGTTTCAGAGTTTCTATCCCGTGTTATCAGAGATAAACAGCAACATGTGTATTACTAATCAGGAAGTTATCAAGCAGTTGGAGTCCCTTTTGCAAAACTGTAAGCATTTAACTTGCACTTTTCTGATCTTATAGACCCGATGATTTTTTTCTGTCAAATATCTTCTACTGTTTTTTTTATACATATTTGTTTCTCTCTTGATGTAGTGGATGAGCAACAGAAGAACACATTCCAGGTTTGGCTCTTATGTCTCCTGGTTTTACTTGATCTTAGGTGTTGAGAAAGATCGTGACAGAAAGAAACAGTACAAGTTATAACTCGATTTATATATTAAAAATTTCAGTTGGGGTGTGAGTTCGGAACCAAAAAAACAAAACTTTCCCTGCCAATTTGGGATTCTTGATTATCATTACCATGGTTTTCTGCTAACAATTTCTTACACTGAAGTAAAGCTGTGAACATTGTGAATGTAGATGGTGATCATGTCGAGTGTTTTGGTTTTCCTTTTTCTACCATGAAAGCTTTCTCTTTAATAGTTTAGAATATGCCAACCAGGGCCCCTTATCCCAACAGAAATATTAGTTGCGGTTTCTCAAAAGCAAAGGGACGGGAATGTTTGTGAAAGCACATAAATGGTTTAGATACGGTTTGCAGTTAAAAGATATTTTATAGGATTTCCTCCCAAAGTTTATTGCCTTATAGAGGGGAGAGTCTTATCTTGAATCTCTTTATTCTTTTTGGATATAACACTTTGCTGACGGTTTAACTGTTAACAGTTGATTGATTGTTTACAATGGAGAGTAGGAAAATGAGATTGACAATTGGTTTAAGCGGTGAGTTTCTTATATTAAACTGTGCATATCAGCAATGTAATAATATTATTTCATTTTTGAAACCATACCTAAGATACCAATTAAAGTTAGAGCAATGAATAAACAACAACAATTAATTCAAGGGTGACGACATATGCAGATAAGAATGCAATATGCCGAAAAAACCTTGTTATCACTACCACTCTAGGATGAAATTTACATGGTTTCTCCTGATATCCAATATTGACTTGAGATATAATAGGTTTAAACCAGCTAGTACTTGTAAGTGAGAAATCTTATGATACTATATTGAGTTTATTCTTCTTCAAATCCCTACATCTATCACTGTTGTAGCATAAAGGACAGCTACTATATTTCTTGATCATTGTGAATTCTTTTTATGATCATAAATTCATTCATCATTTGATATTTTTTGTTTGTATTTTTATATATACAGAAGCCTATAACCACCTGGTTTATACAGACGTTTTTTGCGAGATTCTCAACTCGTGGGAATGTCTGGTTTCACAAAGGAGGTATTCTGTGCTTTAGATATATCTCGTACAAGTTTTGATCTCAAGCCTAAATTTTTTTATTTTCCTCCACCTTTTATGGTTCTTTTCTGCCATTAACCAATATGAGTGACATGTAAGAATAACATCTTTACGTAGGACCATATAAGCATTGATCAATAACATAACATCTCTTATATAAAGTAACATACATGATTCATAATTTATGGCAGGGCTTACCTGTCATTGCTATTGGTGTTGGGCTCAGCACATTTGATGAATCGTTTGTAAGGACTTGATACCATCTCTAACCAATCCTATCAGTACCTTGCAATTATACGATACATTGAAGCTGCAGTGTTCAATGTTGCTTATCTCTTCGTTCTCCTTGATGTACCATGTGGAAGATTGTGTTTTATATGATGTCAAATTGCCAGTTTTGTTTTTTGTTCAGGACAAATACTATATACAGTCGCACATCCAAATGAATGAATATAGGGATCGAGTGATCATGGTGAGTACCTAGACAGAGTTTTTAGGTGTAAATTCTGACACCCTAGTTGTTATTATTTGGAATGTTTATTTGAGCCAAGAGCTACAAAAGAATCAATGGAAGACACATTGATACTTAGTGTGAAAGTCTTGGACATGAAATGGTTTTAAAACTCTCGCAAGCACTTGAACAATTGAAGGGTATATAGCAATTTAAAACTTTTATTGACCATCTCTCAGCAAGTTTTCTTTTCTCAGAATCCCATACAACTTAGATGCTTTTCTTAGTGCACACTTTCCTTGTGCCACCTTTCCAAGCTTTTTGACAGCTATAACACAACAATAGGATGACTTGAACTATCCAGAAAAGACTGACGGCCATATTTTACATAGTTCAACGTTTCCATATTGTAAATTCTTCAGCGTGTTGTGAAGGTTTTTTTTGTGTCAGTCTTTCATGTTTGAAGGAGTTAGTACTTTTCACTTTAATTTCATTCAGATCTTTGAAAATCTCAACACTAAAGCTGAGTTCTTCTTGCTTCATTGACAATTGGCAGGTTGTAAAGCCTCTTTTGCAGGAAAGAACAAGGAAGAAAGTCCATGTCCTCAAAGGTTGTGGCACGGAGGAATTACTCAAGGTAAACAACAGCATTACCCTTAACTATTTGCCGTTGACCCTTTCACAATATCCCTAATATGAGTTTTCCTCTCTGTGTTTTTAATTGACAATAAAAGTTATGTTAAATAGTAAGCGAAGAACTTGAAATTTTCTTGAACGTCTAAATCTGACCTATATCTACTGTAACCACCTGTATTTATGTTTAATTTCAAAGTTGGTGATGATAGCATCATCATGGGCTATGGATTTTGTTTGCCAATTTCCAATGTCAGTACTGTGAAATTGCCTTTGCACAATGAAGATTTTAAGTTTTAATCTCTGTAGTTGTTTTAGTCATAAGAAAATAAATGTTGTGGATTTTTTTTTTATGAATGGATAGAATAAGTTTTTAGAATATTTTCCAAATCAGAAATGGTTTACTACATGAAGGAGCTTCCATATTTGTTCATCTTAAATCTATGCTTGTTAATAATTAACCTGTGATATGGAGAGTTGAAAAATAGCACAACCAAATTGAATTTCTTCCATCATTACTAGATTTGTTGCAATTGAGAGGGGTTTAATATACTAAACCATGTTTTCAAAAACTTGTGAACAGGTAATGGACTATGCATCCCTCCCACATTTTTGCAGAAAGGAGGATTCCAGGGTGCCCCAACATCATGAAGCTGGAAATACTGAAAATTGTTTCTTCATTGATCATGTCTTCCATAAACAACTATATAATTACACCGAGCAGCAAGCTATATTCATAGAGTCCATATCCCAGGATTCTTTCCATGTAGATTTTACCTGAGCCCCAGAACCCAGTTGATGCCACAAAATTGCCAAGACTTATAGAAAACTGAGTTTCATAAAACTGGAAATCAGGAATGGCCTTACGAATTGATGGAATGGTCTTTGCAGTTCTCGTCTGCATCGTGTTCACTTGAACCTTGGAGAATTCTGATGATGCTCATTTATGAGTTACACTGGTCCATTTTGAATAAGAGTTATATTACACGCAAAAAGCTTAAAAATTCAGTTATTGAGAGTAATATCGGAGTGTTTATGCAGATGTAGTCTTCTGAAAGAAGAAATTACGTTCAGATTTTCTACTACTTTTTAATATTGTATATTTGTTGTACTATTAAATCACTGAATTTGATATAATAAGTTCTTCTTTAATATAGTTTACAAGCCATGTACATGGGGCTATTTTGAAAAGACAGCAGAGACCTACACACCCAAAATCCGAGAATCTAAACTTAAAAAATTTCACAATATAATTTTTTATAAGTGCCTGGGGATGACGAGCAATGGCATTTTTTTCAGTGTGGAGGACAGCAATCAGTTACAATTCTTCTGAATCCCCTCAATTTAATGCTATTTATACAAAAATGTAGAATGAGTGTTTCACACCCTGTCGGAAAAAAGTTTTCTTTCTGAAGTGTGAAGTTAAACCATTATCCTGCAAATCAAAACTTTTCTTTCTTCAGTTTAATATACTTTTCATTTTCTTCTTACAAGTAGTAGTCAAGAAGCTTTTCTTTAAATTTTTTATATTTAATAACAACCCTACTTTAATTCCTATACATGATATTTTTATACGTAGCAAGTTCAAGGAACCGCGAAACTTTTTCATAATATGGAAAATGGGCACAAAAATCAAATTCTACCTAAACAACTGCTTGACTATATTAATTTGAATATTCTGAGTCTAAGGTTTCTTTTTTTATGTACAAAATAAGGCTAACCTACGAAATTAAAAGTGACCCAGCATAAACAGTGCAAAACACTAAATCCACTACATTCAGATTAAAACATGAAGCTCCCGCTTCCGTTTCCCTACATGTTTTTAGTACTATGACTGCCTTCCTAAAGAAGAACTGCACTAGCAATCAGAAATGAGCTACATATAACCAAGATATAGCAACACTTAAGTTATCTGAACCACTTAGTAGCGCTGCCAAAGTTGAATCCTTTTATCTCAATTGCCTGTAGCAATTGTAGGCAATGGCAACTGACACAGCAGCACATACAACAGCAAGAGCTGCGTATGTATCTTCTTGCTCCCAACCATCAAGCAAGTTGTCACAGAAGGAACACTTGCGTGAGCTCCTTTGCACTATTCATCCGAGAAAACACAGAGTCGTTGTTCTTATTATCAGCTGAGAGCTTTGCCTCTGCCTCAATGACATCAGGGTCCAATATCTTTTCCAGTAAAACGTGATTCTGATGGAAAGAAGAATCTCCATTTGACTGGCAGCAGCCAGCATTTGATTGACAGCAGCTAGCATTTGATTGATAGCAGCTCACAAAATTTTCTTGAGATCTAGACACTTCAGTGCTTTCCTCTAAATTTCTTAAGCCATTTAGCAGAAGCCTTTGTTCTTGCTTAGTCAGCTGTTCATCTACTGAGAAACCCATCTGACCCCTGATGACAGTACAAAAAGGGTAACAAATACAAGTCAGCATATGCATCATGGACCTATGCACCAAATTTTTCATAGCCATCAGCCCGGTACATATTATTATCTTTAACCATGTAATAATTTCAGCAGGCTATTTTTCTAAAGATGGAATTTGCACATGTCTCATCAAATTTTCATCACAAAAAAGGGGGCATAAAGAGATGTAATTGAAAAGCTATGGATGAAACCAGGGTTTCTGAAAGTTTGGAGATGTATAAGGGAATAAAATTACTTTAAGAGTGATCCATCATATGTACTTCATTTTGTAGCTGCTTAACTTTGAAGTCCTTGGAATTGAAAACATGCTCTATGATTTTTTATTTTGTAAATAAATAACAGAGGTCACAGATGCCATTTAAAGGTGCATGAAGTAAAGCTGTCATACCATCAGACATTGGCATGAAGATGGCACTTATCGTCATACCATAATTTCAATTTCAAAATACATAACCCAAGAAGGCATTATTACTCCAAGATTCAAATGCGATCTAATCATTGATGGTAAACAGGGCTTGCAGATATGGGGAGCAAAAAGATCATTTTTGAAAAAACAAAGACCTACCTTATTTAATGCAAAATTTTGGATGAAGAATTTAGAAATCGTGATTCCTGAAGGTGTCAAAGAATCTTGTAGATATATTGACATGCAAATGATAATAAGCTTCAGAATTTTAATTTTTCCACATTTATTGAACCACTCTCACAAAATTTAGGTAAATTTAACTTCTAAACCCTAGAGGCTCAGGCACTGCCCCCAACTCTAATTTGTGGTGTGAAAATATAGGGAGGAGGAGAGAAGAAACAGATCACAGAAGAGAATCATCCACTCTATTTTTCATCTATTCCGTTCACTCTATGTCTCACATTTTTCCTTCCTGCCCAAGACATCCAAAAGGCCACAACCCAGTATTGAAGTAAAAAAAAAGATAGTCTAGCAATTTAGTCTTCTATAAGATGAAATCTAACTTTTAACCAAAATAGTAAAGAAAATCAATAGAGCACTAAGGAAATAATTACCTCCATAATGAGTCTAAAACCTCCCCTTTCATGATATGATGTTGAAGCAATAAAGGCACATCATCCGGGGTAACATATCCATACCTACATATTTCAATTGAGGGCAACATTAACAAGTTAACAAAATATAATAACCAATGGTACAAAGGTCTAGCAAGAACAATAAAATAAAAATTTGTTTTTAATAACCATGGAGGTGTTCTCTTTACCAATGGCCAGTGACTTCTCCATTCATGCTAGGTCCAAATACAATGACGTTTCCCGCATACTGACTTCCCCCAATGTGAGAACACGGGCTTACAAACACTTTACCCTGAAGACCATGTAACTCTATCTCCTCCCTGAATCTACTGACCAAGACAGGTCCACAAACCCCACATCTGCGATCACGGGATCCATGCGAACACACAAAAACAAACGATCCTCTCAATGCCTCAGGGGTTCCAGGAAGCCATTCCCCATCCTTCACAAGAACCTCTTCCACAAACGTTTCAACATCAAAATGCGTTAACCTCCTGCAATTCCATTAAAACCTGTTGTCCACAATGATCTAAGAAAGGGAAAAGCAATAAAAAAAAACAAAAAACAAATAAGGCATACCACTTTTAAGATCAATAACACATACCTGTATCTGACCATGTCAGGAAAGATCAACACATCCCCATTGGATGTTTCAGTTCCATCATGACCCTCACAAATCGTTAACCGAGTCTGGAAAAGAGACAACTCGTAAGTCCAACACAATGTAATTAGCACTTAACAAATGCAAAGTCGAAAAACGTGGCTCAACAATTGTTGAAGATCACACGTCTATTAGTGATACATTGAACATCGTAGAGACAAAAATCAAAAGGGGAGCGAGAGAAGACAGTACCTCCTTTTTCATGTGAGGCTTTCTTGCGACTACGGCAGCGTGAAGCAACCTTGGCAAGCGATCGAATTCGGCGGCTTCTATGCGCGGTGGCCAAACGCGAGGGTTCTTATAGCATAAGAAGACGTGGCGTTGGTAGAACTCGACGGTGCCGGCGAGGGGACTCTGACGAAAATCGGGGCGGGAGAATCCAAAATCTGGATCGGCGGCGGCGTCGGCGGAGGAGAGAAGGCCATCGTTCTGGAAGCTTCCGGAGGCGCTTCTTGGGTCGGCGAGGTAGCTGTCGAATTGGTCGGAGACTGTGACAGGGGAAGAATGAGAAGAGGAAGAAGGGATTGTGAATGTCAGAGACTCTTCTCTCTCCCTGTTACTCGCCATTGAGATACACAACACAATCTCCCTCTCTCTCTCTCTAACAACGTTGTGTGTGTTTGAGTGAGTATCTGTGCTGTGCTTTTCTATTTTTTCGAGGTTTGATGATGATGTGAGACGAGGCTGCATTCCTGTGAGGTAGAAAGTAGAATTTATCGGTGGAATCGGGTTTGATCACCTGACACGTGTTATTTAAAGGTTCTAATTTACTATTCCCTAATTGTTCAAATTATTTACACTTTTCAGTACTAGACTACCATAACTTGTTCAAACCATCATTATTATTTCTTCTCTTTTTTTTAAAAAATATATAATGATACAGAGTGCTTTTTTTCATTAGTAGTTAAAGAATAATTTAATGATTTTTATGAAATATTAAATATTGTCAATATTATTCTATAAATAAGTACTTTTATTGATAAATAATAAAAAAATATTTGAATTCATTAATAGCAAAGATAAATTTGGTAACTAATAACATGATTTTGAAAATTTCAATAAAAATTAATTGAATTAATTATTACATTAGAATTATTTTATATTAATTACAATAATAAATATTTTTCAAACTAACTGCGTCCTTCACACGATTATCGTGATCTGGGAACGCTATACACCAAGAATGTTTTAAGAAAGTGTTGTTTCTGTAATAAGTATTTAAAGTAAATAATATAAAGTTTTTCTTTCGTAATCTAATGTGAGAATATACTTACCGAAAAATATCAATATATGACTTAACTATTTTAATTTAAAATGTATACAAAAAATTAAAATAATACTATAAATTATTGACAAATTTATTATTTTCAATTAATTTTTTAGAAAAAAGTGAGTTTTTTAAAAGAGCAATAAAAATAGAAATACCATGAAGTATTTGGTTAATTAGGTCAAATTTTTATTGTGTTTTTATCTCATAATTTATATTCATTTGATACATACTCTAAAGATAAAAAATATTATAAAAATTAAATTTTTATATCTTTAAGTAAACAAAAATAAAAAAATAAAAATAATATGAATATAAAAAATTTATGTGCCAAAATATAATTTCATGAATACTATCTATTTCTTTTTCATGAATCCTATCTATTTAGGCTTTTTTCAAAAATCTTGATCCATTCGAAGTATTGTTTATTCGATTTTTTTCTTGATAGTATCTTAAATGTAAAAGAAAAAAATACTATGGTATGGATGAAACTATATACTTTTGTTACAAAAGTTAAATAGCAAAAAAAGGTCTAATAATAAAGTAGACATATCTATTATTTATCATTTGAATAGACATGTAAGTTACTGTCTTTCTTTTCAGATGTCTTTTAAAGTTTTTATGAAAAAGCCAGAAGTATGATAATTTTATGGACAAAAAGTGATTTTGTTTTATTTTTGGGTATATAAGCAATGCTTTATTACCATTATATAATGCATCAAATAATGAACCAGAAGAATGCACAGATAGACGAAGATATAGTTTTTCAATAGTTATTATAATCACTAAAATGCTTGCCATAGAATAGAACAGTTCATCATACTACTACTACTCAGACATTAGGTAGCAATATACAATAATTCACAAGGCAAGTTACATTAATAAAATACTTATGACCAAACTATTGACACTTAGAAATTCTTTTCCCTGATACCATGTTGACAAAAATCTCAACTTTCACACAAACCATTATGTTTCTCTGACAAATTTCAGAAGCTAAGAAGAAGGTCCTCCTCCAACATGGTTATTTTTCCTGTGAAAGATGGCACTCATGTTAGGCAAGAGAACTTTCTTTGAAACTGAAACCTTCCCTTTCTCTAACTTCTTCATCTCCACCTTTGGTAGTGAATTCTGCTTTTGAATCCTATAGTGCTGAGGAGATAATTCTGCTGCCATCTGTGTTTCAGCCAATAATTTAGAAGCAGCTTCTGCTACTTTCTTTTGCTCTCTTTCACGCCACTTTCTGAGCTCATTCTCCACTGCTCTCTTTGCTGCTTCAGCCATCTCAGCCCTTTTCAAGACTTCCTGTGTTTCAGTCTTCATATCCTCAATTTCCTTTTGAGTTTCCTCTAACCTTTTTATAACTTCATTTTCACTCACCTTTGTAGCTTCCACCTGTGCTTTGGCAGCGTCCACTTTCATATCTGCTAATTTATCAGACTCCTCAACCTTATGAACTAAGGACTCAAACTCCTCCCTTGAGATTGTAATTCTTGCACCAGATTCACAAGTTGATGAACCAGAATCACTGGTCCTCACAGATAAGACCCTGATCTGTTCAAGAGCACTTGCCTCAGCTGTTTTTGCTACTTCTACTTCTTGCAATGCTGCTTTGAGCTTTATTTCGNCGCCACTTTCTGAGCTCATTCTCCACTGCTCTCTTTGCTGCTTCAGCCATCTCAGCCCTTTTCAAGACTTCCTGTGTTTCAGTCTTCATATCCTCAATTTCCTTTTGAGTTTCCTCTAACCTTTTTAGAACTTCATTTTCACTCACCTTTGTAGCTTCCACCTGTGCTTTGGCAGCGTCCACTTTCATATCTGCTAATTTATCAGACTCCTCAACCTTATGAACTAAGGACTCAAACTCCTCCCTTGAGATTGTAATTCTTGCACCAGATTCACAAGTTGATGAACCAGAATCACTGGTCCTCACAGATAAGACCCTGATCTGTTCAAGAGCACTTGCCTCAGCTGTTTTTGCTACTTCTACTTCTTGCAATGCTGCTTTGAGCTTTATTTCGGCATCTTCTAAAACAAGTTTAGTGACTACAGCTTCCATCTTCAATTGTGCAGCCTCATTCTTCCTTTCTTGTGTTTCCCTCCTTGCATTTTCAGTTTCAGTCAACAACTGGTTCAATTTCCAGATCATTTCCTCTGATGCACCTCTAGCTTTAGATTCTTCTGCCAAGTAGGCCTCAAGTTCAGACTCACTTTTCTGGAGCTCTACCCGCAGATTCTCAACAAAGGAAACAGTTTTGAATTCTTTCTCTTTCAATGCAGTGTGTTCTCCTTTTACATTCTCCAGATCCATCCTAAGAGCTTCCACGATGGCTCTAAGGGACTCTTCCTGTCCTGCTACTTTCTGCAGTGATTCCTTAGCATCATCAAGATCCAGAGTGACACTCTTCAAAGAATCCAAGTCTGATTTCTTTCTATTTTCCAATTGTTCTTGCAAAACGCTTATCTCATTCATTGTCTCAGTCAGCTGCAACTCTAGATTTTTGGTAAGCCCTGGATTAAATTCCTTCTTTAAATCGAGCAAATTCCTTTTGGATTCTTCAAGGGCAGCTTCATATGATTGTCTTAGAACATTTTGCTTGGCTTGTGTCTCTTCTTGCAGCAAATGTGCTTGGACAGATTGAGCATTAACTTGATCGATTGATTCCATTACAGCCAAAATTTCTTTAGATAGTTCTGATGCTCTTTTGTTGTTGGCCTTCATTGCATCTTCCGCTTCTGCTGCTTGCTTGAAAGCAGAAACTCTTGCTTCTGAGGATAAATCATACCCCTGCCGAATTTTACTCAGTTCTTGCTTTGCAACATCAAGTTCTGTAACGACAGAGGCATAACTTTTAACTGCAGTTTCTAACTCTTCTTTCCAAGAACCATTGGTTCCATCAAGATCACCACACTTTTCTTCTTTAAGCTGTTTTGCTCGAGTTTTTGAAACATCTGTTGATTGTATTGCTGATTCTCTTGATTTGATGAGAGCTTCAAGCTTTTGTGAGAGATCCTCAACCACTCTCTTAGCCTTTTCAAGCTCCACCAGGACTTGAGCCTTCGTAGTTTCTGCATTCTTTAGTTGTTCCTTTAATTTTTGCAGCTCTTTCCGGGCTAGGTGAAGTTGTGACTCCTTTGCCCAAATACTCTAATAAAATAGCAAATCTTGTAAGTTGTAATACGCAATACTAGAAAGCCTTTCAAAGTT